AACGCGACATGCAATTGCCAATGAATGCGTTCCGCACTGTACTGCATGTCGAGTTTCACACACAACACTTTGATCTCTTGGTGCAAATTTGATATCACTTTGAGGCGACTGACCTGCTTGTACAGAGCTGCAACTCACAACACACAGCAGTTCATACCTCATAACAGAAACTACACTCTGGCCTCCTGATGAGAAGCGGGACTTCCCCCCGGCTTGGCCATACTCTAGCATTTAGCACAGGTTCATTAGCTATCATGAATGCATTCTTTTCAAGCTGGACATAATAATAATATCTTACTGTATTCAGTCGAGGCACCTATTTATTCCAGTTCATAAGTATTATAACTAAAAGATACTCTATAGTCTAGACGACTATGGACAAAGCGGTATTGTCATCGCACTGTTGAGTATGCTCAATACTGTGTGTATCAAAAGTATATACTTCTGGACTTCTAATTTTCATCACCCGAACAGTCTGTGTACTCTCTCTCTCTCTCTCTCTCTCTCTCTCTCTCTCTCTCTCTCTCTCTCTCTCTCTCTCTCTCTCTCTCTCTCTCTCTCTCTCTCTCTCTCTCTCTCTCTCTCTCTCTCTCTCTCTCCCTCCTCTCTCACACCTACTCTCTCTCTCTCTCTCTCTCTCTCTCTCTCACTCTCACTCTCTTTCTCTCTCTTCTGATCCTCCTCCTGCTCCCCCGTCCATGTCTCTTACGTCTGATGTTATGCTCTATTTAAATACGTCTCTGTAGGCCGTATCATGTTGTCCTTGGGTGTCGCTCTTCTTGCTCTGTTTCTAGTCCTTGCTGTGGGATCCATTCTACATGTTGTTGCTCTTGCAGAAGCCATTGGCTGAGAAACTGGAGTCGCCGCTGTAGCCACTTCCCATGCTGTTTGACAGCGGTGGAGGCTCTGCTGGAGTCCACCATGCTGATAGTATTGTGGTGGTTGAGACCATGCCGGCTCCGCTGTCACTGTTCTCAGTACAGACAGTGTAGCTTGATGCGTTGATCTTGACTCAGTCTATGCAGGAGACAAGCAACAATGCATGCGTACAGCTCTCTACTACTCTAGCTCTCTTCATGCCTTGATTTGCCAGAGGCATAGGACCACATGCGCACCGAATAACGCCATCTGCCGATAATACTAATGCTAGTAAGACTGTATTTTCCGGAGTAAAACAATAAGCAACAGAACTTCACCCCCAAAAAGTCGGTGCGAGTTACCGGTATGTACAACGCTGGTGATAAACAGGATACCGGTAGATGTCTGTATTTCGTGACAAATGAATAATCTGGGCACGGCTCGGGAAAATTCGGAACATGTCTACCTGTACAGTCGTCCCTCTCTAATCCAGCACTTTATAATCCAGCACCCTCGATAAACCAGCACAATGTCCAGTAGCCAAAATGTCCTCTTCATGCACATTGCAGCAGTAAATCAGATTTGTTAATCCAGCACCCTCCCTAATCCAGCAGATTTTCCGTGGCACAAATGGTGCCGGATTTAATAGAGAGGGACCACTGTACTGACTGTCAGTGTGTTGCTCACACTGATAGTGATACGCCGTTTATGGAAATAGACTAATGATGTCGATGAACCACGTGCGTGTATCAAAATCACTAATAATCAGGGCGCAAGCAACACCATTAAGGCCGTTCGGGACAGTTAGGCCCAAAAATTTAATTTCAACATCAGCCCAATCTGACATCAGGTTTGAATAGGTACAGCCTTATATTTTCGTTTAGTAACATCAGTTTTTCAATTGCCCGAATAGGTCTTGCCAAAAACACAATTTTCCTTGATGACACAAAATAACATAAAATCCCAAAATTGATGAGAAATCGTCCATAACATCAGTTAGGACAGAAACTATGACCTAAAAGTTTACAGACTGTTCGAGGTATTGACTAAGATGATATCAACACCGAAAAATGTACACTTTGGTTGACGATGGGTTCCAGGTCGTCATTTCCTGGAGAAGAACAAAAAGACGCAAAAAATGAAACTTTGAATATTTTTTGCAGCTTATTTTTGAGTTTGCCCCATATATGGATACTTCAAATACGTTCTATAAGTGGGTTGGAACAGGTTTACCGCGGCGAAAATAGGGGTCACCGTGCATATTCTGGAGAAAAATCCAAAAAACTGTCAAAATTTGCCTAAAATTGGTAAATTCACGTATCTATATTGCTTGTACTTCTCTGCTGCTGCTTTGGTCATAATTTATTGGATTTTTGGCTGTTAGGTGTTGCATAAACTCACTAGAGCCCTCGGCGTTCAGAACAATACAAGGATGGAATAGCTGAATTAGTAAATTTGCCGGAAAACCCTGGGTGCACGCATTATCGATAGGTACTTTTCTCCATGATTACTCACCTGTTGGTACTTGGTTGTGATACATGTACATGTAGCTGTGATAGCGCTTAGCACAGCCCCATATCAAACTACAATGAAAGCTGACATGTTGGAACGAATCAGACAACATTGAGTCCTCTTGTTCTTCAACTATGCGAGCTAGAACGTGTCCCCACACTGGCAAAAATGATGATATTTTACGGTGCGCACAAACAAGTGAAGCACTGTGCCACAGGGCGTTCCTTACAGTTGGGTTGCTGCTGGTTCTTCGCTAGGTGTTCAGCCACCGCTAATATAATCTTCCTTGAGACTGTCACCCGCTTCTTACCTCCGACTTGCTCCTTCATCAGTCTGGAAATGGCTGGCTCACCACTTCGTTTGTAGGACAAGACAAAGTGCTTCATCACCAACCCACTGGCAGCTGCCCGCACTGCAACTGATTTAGAGAAGCACGTTGCTTGGACCAACGGTTCAAGGGTGGCCAGCCGCTTTTGCTGATGTTCTGCAAACTCCATCGCCGAACATGCTGATGCAAAAGTGACAGAGTTCTACAGGATACTGGCATCAGGGCGAGCTTCGACAATTTCAGCTAGGGCCGCAACATCCGCAACAGCATCATGAGCAGCGAACTCATTCCCAACGATGAACTATAAATCAATCTGAGGCTGTAGCTTGGGAGCTCCGGTATCGCGGTTTAGGGATCAGAGTGTTCACCCAGCACAAAAATGCACACCATCGACACACACATCCGTGCACACATCCGTGCACACATACACACACACGCACACACACATGCATGCTCTCACACGCAATAGAACACACGCGCGCGTACACACACATACATTCACGCACGTGTGCGTACCCACCCACATGCATGTGTACACTCATGTGCATGAGTGGAGATGCCCGCATACACATGTCACACCAACATGCCCTGGGAGCGGTCATGCACGTGTGTATAGTATGTGTGCGAGGGCACGTCCACATGAGCGCATATGCATGTGCATGCTCATACATGCGTATGGTGCACACATGCACAAACATGCAGGTCTATGCAAACACACACATACTCGCGGCCGCCGCGCATACAGTGTGCTCATACATTTCCATAGCCATAGGGTGGCAATGACTCGCAAATATCATGAATAAATCTTATATATTGAAAAACGCACTTACGTTACCCAAAGCAGCTTTGGTGTTGCTTGTGGAAGCACGGGGGCCAGGGTGTTGAGCAGTTACAGGGCTATCTGTAATGTATCTATAAAATTCTCCATCCCACACTGCTGACACGGAATGACAAGTACGCTGCCCAGGTCGTACCTCTTCTCTTCAACGCAATCAGTGAGCGCCAGAGGTTTGCCACATCCAGGATTCTGGTACGCAGAAAATCCCACAGCCAGATACCTGAGATAAACGATTCGTCGACCGTGAAGAGGGGCACTGAACGACCTCTTCGCGGGAGTCGAATCCAGTGGCGTTAGTGGTGGAGATCGCCCTTTCCGTTTTTCAGGAACTCGATCGATCGTTTGAGTTTGCGAAGCGTCCCCGTCCTCGGCTTCTTGCATCGTCCAGTACGCAGAATGAGAGGCCGCGTCGTGGGTGACGGATTACTCTCCCGCGTCTTCATCTCCACGACACGTCGGCAGGAGAACCGAGCTATCCAAAAACCGCCAATGTCAAAACAAATCCGCAAGTCCACTAGTGGCTGAGCTTCTTCCTCAAATCTTGTCTCGACTCGAGCACGCGCTGCGAAGTCATGGTCAAATTGCTTATTTTTTACTCGATTGTGCATGATCGCGTCCCATTTTTCCACTCCGAAAGGCATTATTTCCACGCTTTTCATTTTTTTAGTTCCGAGCGTTCACACTTGTTCCTGATCCTTTTGGGTTGCTCTCCTCTGTTATATTCTTGCTCTTGCGTTTCGTCATGTTGTGTCTGGCAATGCTGCCTGCCACTAGCTCTCTGGCTGTTGTTGTGCCTAAATACCTGTGGGACCGGAAGAAGCCGGGTTTCGCTCCCTTCAAGTTTTGCTTTCGAGTGTTTCTGTTGTTGCAGTCACAGTTTTACCCGCGATGAGTGAAAAACTAGTGGACTAGGGGCCAAGTCATTCGCGGCCTCCAAGCCCGGCATTTTCTGGTAGCAGCGGAGGGTTCTAGCTCTCTTTGCGAGGCGCTACTACTTCGAGGATATAATGCCGGGTGATGAACAATGTTACATGGAATATGCGGACTCCGGAGAGATATTCGCGCTTGATTGAACTACTTCGAACGGTAATGATTCCGCCCTCTACGTAACGACGGCAATCTGCAATGGCAGCGAGGCCCCGCATGCAGCCAACCGATATGCCACAGAGCGTGGATCGGAGCACGACAGCGCACCATTTTAGCCGGTCTAAGAAGAGAGCGGAGCGTGCAGGAAAATAATTCGTCGTTTACCAGTTAGTCTGCGAAGGTGGCTGGCAGTGTACATTAGTCGTATCCATTCTGGTTAGCTGGGCCACGACGGAGTCGAAGACACTATTCCGTATTCGCCAACTAAGCCAGTACATGAACGAGTGCAAGACCTGGCGCGGAACCGATACCTACATGTAGTGGAGTCGAACGTCAGAGACCAGAGAAAAAACTGCTAGTGCTATGCTAGTCTTACCGGCTTGAACGTCACTGCGTGCAGTTGGAGGATATTGATATCACGGACTGTCAGTGTGATTTCCGATTGCATGCAGCAGTCGACGCAGCGCACATCGCAGGACTTTCAATCGTGGAGAGATTTGTTTGGATGGCAGTGAGAGCTAGAGCAGACAGAATTGATGTAGGGTGAGGTTGGGAATATGGAACTCACTCATCAGAGGACTTCGCCTCAAGGTGTGACCTATTTGGATAAAGCAACGCTGGTGGCAGGTGTCACTATAAAATTTACACACAAGGGAACTTTGGCCAGAAGAGTGACCCTGTCAGATTCATGGACGGTGGAGGAGGACAGACCACATCGTCGCCAGCCTTACATAGCAGCAGTCTCAATTCTCTCAAGTACAAGGTATTTGCAATTTTATAACCTGAAGATAGAAAAGTACAGATACATGTACGTATGAGTTATGAGTAACCATGGAAACTGACCACCACTGTAACAAGATAGTACTGTAAAACCGGAAGATTTCGCTGGAGTTTTATTTTCGGTAACTTCGGTACATCGTCAAACGTCTGTACAGGTAATTTTTACCTAAAATAAAACGAGACCTGAAATTCAAAAAGCCATTCCACATAGTGTGCAAAATGCATTTGGATCTGGAAAACTGATTTACCGAAATTTTCACGCCACCGAACAGTTGATTTTAGGAAATACCGAAAATATTAGACCAGCGAAAATTCCCGGTTTTACAGTAGGCAGTCAGAAAGTGTGATAACTGGGCACAAAACTGAGAGGCAAACTGAGGAGACATTCAACGACCTGAGACCTAGCTCCAACACATCTCCAGTGAGCAAACCAACAGCTTTCCCACTTGAAAGGTTCATGGCCCAGTAAATGAGGAAAGAGGGGAGGGCGAGCGCAGTGAAAATGTGCACAAGCTAAGTCCCACGGCAACAGAGAATGTCGCCTCTTATAGGACGAAGGCGAGACCAGTTAACCCTTTGTCCTTTTGCCCAAAATGTATGTGAGGGGTACCTGCTTCAACAAATCCACTCACCATACCCAAGCAGTTGATATTTTGTATGTACACTTTATGTTTTCCTGAAAGCTTATGATAATTGTGAACTAAAAATGCAGTTTGGGTTGAATTCCTCAGATAGGCGTGGCTAAATAAGAGTATCAAAAATGGTTTTTTGGCAAAAATCGGCAAAATTCTAAGTTCAAGTTCTTTCCTATGTATAATAATGTGCAATTTGTACAAGTATGACCTGCAGTAGCACCCCTGGCATGTTGGGCAAACACGGAGCATTAGCCAGAGGAGTGCCAGTGGCGACATGCTCGACATTGCGGCCCTGTGCGGCTACTCTACTCACTCTGCGCGGCTGTCGACCATGAGTGTGACGGCGCGCAGGTGACGCAGATCTGGACCTCTCTGGGATCGGACTACGCTCCCGCTCCACGTGCTACGGCATTCTAGCTGACCCTGCTGCTCCACGACGGGTAAGACATGGCGGAGGTACACTCTCTTCGCCACTCGAGTGCTGTTCTGCCGATCCTGCGCTCAAATCGGAGCGGTCGACATGTCCGACAGTTGGGTCGACGGTTACGACATCATAATCCGCGTCGTCATCAAAATGAGAATCTACACCTTCAACTAAGGCTTCGTCCAGTTCGTTCTCTTCATCAGAGGACATAGGATTGTCGCTTGGGTCACTCCAGCTATCCTCAAACAAGCGCTTCATCTGCATCAAGCGACCTGCGTGCTGCCATGTCGGAAGTTACGGCGCAAGCAAACTTCGACTTTGATTTCCTGAAAATTTTCAAATGGCAACTAGCCCCAGCGACCCGTGTATCATCCTCTACATAGCATAGGCTGTGTGCACGTGAATTTTCATGTGGATCGGGTGATCCGCGTAGCTTCCAGGCCGCTTTGAACATGCGTGGGTTGAACCGTACACAGGTGTACGGTTCAAGTATGGGCGAAAGGACAAAGGGTTAATGTTTTGGCACTGCGGTCTAACTACAATTTGAAGCAGCAAGGCAAAACACCCAACTTGGGTGGGTCAGAAATATCAAAGGTGAATATGGAAGGGACACTTTTGATTGTTTTTCACTGCAGGAGGTCTATGCCTTCATCATGGGAAACTCTCTTTTCAGTGCTCTTCAAGTAAGTAACTCATTATTTCTGTGTGAATGGGGGTCAGTGGTAGTGCTGCTAGAGACAGGCTGTGTGATGCAATACACTGTACATGACTGTATGCTGTTTGGTGGAATAACAGAATGGGAATGTCATGGTTCAGTGCAGGGTGGGTGCAGGTACATTGACAGCAAAGTCTGTGCTACCTGTCATGACAGACCTGGCCGGCCTTGGGGCCAGCTCAGCTTGTCATGCAATCTCTGAAAAGTACATGCAGTGAGAGTACAACTGTCTGCATGTGTACATGCTGTGTGTAGCCTACATTGCACTAGACTGCTGTGCAGAGCTACATCTACTACTGACACCGTGCCACTTTTATCTCTGTGTTCACCGCCTGGTGCGAGTGTTATTTTTTTCTCGAGATTCCTCGTGCTGCATTTGTGATCCCAGAGAGGTTCCAGTATCCCTTTGCCAGCTTGATTGTTGAGAAAACAATTTGTGAGAGGCTCAGTGTGTTGTAATAGAGGATAACTCCTGCCTGAGACATGCCACCTGTGACCTGTGTAGCGTGTGGCTGTGAAAACAAGAGGACTAAACTGGTCCAATGCCTCCACTCTCTGTGCATATCGTGCCTTGAGCAGAATGTTGATGAAGATAACTCGATTACGTGTCCGAAGTGTAGGGCTTCAACACAACTGGAAGGCCTTTCTCGATTGCTGTCTTTGCCAGATAGTCATGCCAAGGTAGAGAGTGGTGGTGGTGCAAAGCAGAAGTCTGCAGTATCGTGTGATGAATGTATGGATATGGAAGTGGCTGTTTCGCGCTGTGCAACATGCAACAGTCATCTGTGCAGTGTACACACTGAAGGACACAAGCGTTCCCGAGCTACACATGGTCATGAGGTGCTTGCATTGACTGAAGCAGGCACTGAGACTGCTGAGACCGCTACTGCTGCTTCAGCTACTCAATCACAACATCGCTGTGCACTGCACCCAAGCAGTATCCTGACCAAGTTCTGCACAAAGTGTAAGAAGCTGTTATGTGAGCGATGCATCAGTACTGGAAAACATAAGCAGCACAAACAAGATCTTGTGTCTATCAGTGATGCAGCGGAGAGGATGAGAGCTTCAGTGAATGATTTGTTGTTGAGCTGTGTGTCTGAGAGTGATGGCGTTCTGGAGAGCTCCATTCAGAAAGTACAGTGCTCCATTCGTAACCTTCATGATCAGATAGAGCTTGCATCAGAAGAGGCCGTGCTATTTTTCCGTTCTCTGGTAGAAGCCATTCAGAAACGTGAAACCAGTGTTCTGAATGAACTTGATGATCTTCGAAGTCAGGCACTGGGACCTCTGGAGAAGCAACTCACTAGGCTGCAGGGCAGTGTGTCGCAAACGGAGGTGGTGAGAGGCATGCTGGATGCTTGCCAGGACAGTGTGGATTTTGTGCGCATGTCGTCTTGGCTAGCAACAGCCTTGAATGGCGCAGCAGAGGTTGGCAAGAGTGATGCTGAGCCATGTGTTGTGAGCGGCATCGTCTTTGCGGCAAGCGACACACGTGATCTCGTGGCTGGCATCAGCAAAGCGGGTCTTTGTGCTGATGCAGCAAAGAACAAAGTGCGTTGCTCAGGCAATCGTAAGATGGGCAGTGATGTTGAGATCGACATAGAGATGGAGCACCTTTCCGATGCTGCTACTATCAGCCAAGACCAGCTGAGGAAGATCAATGTAGGAGTATGTGTGACAAATGCGGACGGCAAGACAGTCCAGTGCGAGCCCCTACAGCAATCATCTACTGGACATCTGGTTACTAAATGTCGTCCTGCTGCAGCCGGTCAATACGCTGTTTCCACTACGATTGCCAGTGTTCCTTTGAAAGGTAGTCAAGTGAAGTTCAATGTTGTTCCACCAGCACCTGCTCAGCCGGCACCTGTACCTGTGTTTGATATCAACCGCTGCCATGGAGATATTGAGATCAGGAACAACAACCGAACCATCAGTAAGTCGTCGTCCTACGCCTGCCGTTCAGTATGTAGCACACCGATACAGGAACAGTGCGGTAGTAGTGCTATACAGGTACGTATAGATGTCACACAGCGTGCCCGTATCTATGTGTTCTTATGTGCATCGTCTAGTCCAGCACTGTCTACTGTACATCGCACACAGGGTGAAGTGTACGGTTGGTATGGTTACCATGCTGATACCTCTCGTGGTGGTGGTGCTCTAGGCCAGCGCTGGCAGAGCAATGATTTGATCACATTGACTTTGAACCATGATGATCATAGCCTAACCGGACTGCATCATCGTACCGGTGTAACTGAAGTGTTGCGCAACATCCCAACCAGTAACCTATGCTGGTATGTATCGTTGTCCTACCCGGGTGATCAAGTTACAATAGTCCATTGAAGCCCATTACTGATCTGCTGGCTATGGCCTAATCTGTAGTAATACGAGCACAGGATACTTGTCAGGATGGACTTGTTGCGGCAATGCTGGTAATCAAGTTACGTGTATGTTTTGTGAAGTATGGTTTTCGTTAGTAGTCTCCGGCTACAGTGACTACACAGTACAGACTGATGACAGAATAGGAATTGTCTGCTTTATTAGATATTTCTCTGTTGCTGGATGTCTTGCTCACAATGATTGTTCTGTGTTTTCCCACCCTGTATCTCCTCATTACTGCTTGGTTGTTTACCACTTCTATCCTATCCCAATGCGTTGGCTCGGATGTGTTTTTACCATTGGCATTTTCTATCGCTGTAATGCCTTGGTATTTCAATCCTGAACCTTTTTAGTGATTTTCTATGTCGTAGCTGTCAGCAATCAACTCGGATAGAGTTCCATTTTGACTTCTTGAAGTACCATGGCAACCATTATTCCAGCAGTGTACACATGCAATAGCAGTAGATGCACTGTACACGTCACCTTAGAGTTTTTTCTCATACTTTCAATGTTTTGCAAGGCGTTATTGATGTGTGCTGCTTCTTCCCGACGATAGTTGACATGTTGTGTCGTGTCCGGGTGTTGCTGCATTAGAAGTATCATACTTCTGCTCCATTCAGTGTTTGTCGTGGCGTTGATGTGTCTCGCCAATGAACAAAGTTGTTGTTGTAGAACTCTCACTATTCGTGCATTCCTGGCTGGCTGATCGCTCATTTCATTCCGCTCGCGCACTGCTATTGGTCTATAGCTCTATGCTTAGCATCAATTGCTGGTTGTAGTTGCTATTCTGTTGCTTGTGCTTGCAACTACTTGGTTCTGAAGTGAAACTTCAGTCTTCTTTTGTGGTGAGGGTGAAGAATAGGTGTCTGGACTCCTGGTATATTTCCATAAAGAACCTATGAATCAAAGAATAATGATAGCCTGTCTGGTCCACTCCCCGGTCACGACATTTGGCGACCACGCCAGGATGTCCAGTACCGCTAACATTCTGAACCCTCGGCAGGGAGAGTGAGCTGGACACGTTTCTGGTCTTGTTACTCTTCTTGTCTTGATTTGTCCTGCATTATACAGATAAGAATAGTAGCATAGAACCAATCCCCGGAGGCTGAGCAGTAGCTTGTTCGAACGCAATCGTAACAACTTATTCTGTGAACATTGCTGTGGTAATGAGTCTGCGTAAGACTGACGCATTCTCGCTCCACATATACTGGCATACACAGAGACATAGACAGCAATAGCGACAACACACAAAGTGAAGGGTAGTTGGCCGCAGCCAGATGTGAACCGGATAACGAGTGAGGTATGGAAGCAAGGACTGAGAACAGAGTGTCTCAGATAGAATAGGCGTGCCAGTGGATAGCAGAAAAAGGCCATGATGCAGAACCACTTGGGACCGTCAGATTAATTTTCCTGGACCGAGCCAGCCGGGGAAAAAACCCTCGCGCCGACGGACGCATTTGTGAGGGAAAAAACCGGGTGTATATCCCCAATGGCGATTAGGCATCATGTAGGCATGGCAAGCACATCACGGCAAACAGTGATAAAAAGCAATGATAATATGCACAGAAATGAAGGGTGGGAGGGCAGGGACACTGGTGAGACTCAAAACTGACTGAAGAAGTCAGGAAAAGAAGCGACAACAAAGAACACACCAGATGCCATATTTGCAACTGAAAATATTTCGTGAGAAATCATTTCTCGCCTATCTCGCTGGGCTCGGCCGGCGAGAAATACAACTTACGTTTTCTTTGGGTATTGGGTCGGAAGTTCCTTCCTTTCAAGTTTTCAAGATTTTTATTGTTTTGCTTTCTTTTTCAGTGTCGTTACTTTCTTCTGTTATGACGATGTAACATGTTGGCAGGCGAGGGAGGTGTCATGTCCGGGTTTTGCTACGTGTATTGTACTTCTGGTCCAATCAAGTGTTTGTTGTGGCGTCGATTTGCCAAGCTAGTGAATAGCGTTGCTGTTGTAGGACTCTCACTATTCATGGTTTGCTGGGTGGCTACTCGCTAAATTCGTTCCCCGCGCGCACGCGCGCTGCTACTGGTATATAGCTCGGTGCTTTGCATCAATTGCTGGTTGTTGTTGCTGCTATTCTGTTGCTTGTGCTTGCAACTTGGTTCTGGAGTGAGGTCTCGGTCTTCTTGTGTGGTGAGGGTGAAGAATAGGTACATGTACCTCAACTCCAGATATATTTCCATATAGAGCGTGGGAATCAAAGAATGCTGACAGTATGTCTGGCCCACTCCCCGGTCATGACAGTTCCACACTGTGACTAGTTAGTATGTCTTTGTCTGTTTGCATGATCACTTTGGTTGGGGAACAAAACTCGTTTGGCTAGTGAAGATTTCCTAAAACTCGTTTGGCTAGTGAAGATTTCCTAAAACTCGTTTGGCTAGTGAAGATTTCCTAAAACTCGTTTGGCTAGTGAAGATTTCCTAAAACTCGTTTGGCTAGTGGAGATTTCCTAAAACTCGTTTGGCTAATGAAGATTTCCTAAAACTCGTTTGGCTAGTGAAGATTTACTAAAACTCGTTTGGCTATATTTATATTTATATTTATTACATCTCAAGACTCGGTGGAAACACCGGC